AATGTAATGTAGTGTAGTGTAATGTAATGTAATGTAATGTAATGTAATGTAATGTAATGTAATGTAATGTAGTGTAGTGTAGTGTAGTGTAGTGTAGTGTAGTGTAGTGTAGTGTAGTGTAGTGTAATGTAATGTAATGTAATGTAATGTAATGTAATGTAATGTGCTGTACTGTACTGTACTGTAATGTAGTGTAATGTAATGTAATGTAAAGTTTTACATTGTATTGAACTATATTACATTGCTTTGCATTGTATCGTATTGTATCGCACTGTATTGTATTGTATTGTATTGTATTGTATTGTATTGTATTGTATTGTATTGTATTGTATCGTATAATATGCATGCATGTGCGTGTGCCTTTCTACGCATGTGGAGGTGTATGCGCAAAATTTAAAAGCATCTGCCGGTGTATGCTTCCGTGCCTGTGTGTCTTGTGTATACTTATACGTATATGTGGTACTGTATGTAGGCAGCAGTTCAAGCAGACATGTTGTCATCGCAACTCGCGCCTGGTCATCCCATCCCCCATCATGATGGGTATCGGGACTTGTATAGAACTCGTACAGGACCCTTGCAGTGCCCTGCTTGAAAGTAGACGCTCCTTATAGCTCTTGGAGCCTTCATAAAAGTGAACCCTGGTGGATCCCTCCAAGAACTCAATTCCTTGTAGACTTAGCCCGTGTGTATGGCCCGCTTTCTTGGACTCTGTTCTCGACGCGAAAGGTGATCTTGTACCTCTTCGTTGTCACTGGTGTGGTCATTATCTTGGTTGGCGGCAAGGCACTTCTTTGCTAAGCCCGTAACTCTAGTGAGGTTTTGTTCGGGGTTTCGGTCTGTTCTGGCGTTCTTCCTGCTGTTCTTTTGTTGATTGTTGCTATATGTTTTAGTTTAGTATGCCAAGGTAGAATATAGGATTTTATAGCATATCAGCGTATAGTGTGGTAATGTAAGGGTTTGTTACGATGACACGTGTCAGCTTCGAACATCATGGTGAAGACCCTTCTCTCAAAACCTCTGCAGCCTAAAGCCACAGACCCGGGTTGGAAAGGTTCAGGGTTTAAGGTTTAGGGCTTAAGGTTTAAGGTTTAGGGTTTAGGGTTTAGGGTTTAGGGCTTAGGGCTTAGGGTTTAGGGTTTCGGGTTTAACGTTTCAATATGGGGAAAGCAAAACCCCACCACCCGAAGACGAGGACCTTCCACCCCTTAAAGGAATGTTTAAAGGAACCCCGAAACCCCACACCGCGAAACCCTAAGACCCTGAACCCTGAAGGGCTCGTTTAAGTGGTTCTAGAACGGGGTTAGGGTTCTTTTAAGGGCTCTTGAGGGTTATGAAAGTTTAAGCCAGTGGTTTTCGAGATCAGCCAGAAGGGATGCCGATTATTAGAGTTTGCCGCGTTCTGATCCTAATGTCGTTGGTGCCATTGTTGTCACTCGTTTTGTAGTGGCTGTTCTAGGGGGGGAGGTATTCTCCGTGTGGCTTGAGAGGCACGCATTCGATTATTTGTTGTCGCCGGCCGCATGCATCAAGTTGAAGGTGAGGCCACGGGCAAGGACGTCAAGGCGGAATTGGCAGTATCCGCCAAGCCAGAACACGTCAGAGACACGCTGGCAGGCTTGGAGGCGCCAGCCGCCGTGGGATTCTGATGCTCCGCCAGCACCTCTTAGCACGGGGCTACCGGTGGTGAGCACCGACATGTCAGGAGCAAATTCGGCCAGATGGTGAAGCCAGGTGCTGCTGGACGCTGTTCCTAGCTCCGGGCCGGGCCCAATCCATAATCCCCTTAACTCTAAACTCTAAACCCCTAAACTCCTAAACCCTGCAACCTAGAATTCCGAGCACTCAACCTTCTAAACCCCTAAAGCCCTAAAACTAGAGCGAAGGCCCGCCTTAAGCTGGCAGACAGCCAGCGGGCCAAACAAAGCCCGGCGAGCCCTTGGCGACGGCCACCGAGGTCAGTGCAGCGGCAGTCTGGCGGATTTAGGGTTTAGGAGTTTAGGATTTAATGTGGCGACCCGAAAAGTGGGGTCTGGGGGCTGAAGTAGAACGGTTTAGGAGGGTTCAGTAGGTTTCGTAGTTTTCGCTGCTTAAGTACAAGGGTTTAAGAGGGTTCTGTAGGTTTCGGGCGGGGTTGGGGTGGTTTGCTTAGATTTGGGGTCTCGGGGCTTGAGTAGAAGGGTTTGGGAGGGTTTTAAGAGGGTTCTGTAGGTTTGGGGGGTTTGCTTAGGTTTTAAACAGGAGGTTTCCGTGGGGGTGTGGGTTGATTTGGGGTCTGGGACCTGAAGTAGAAGGGTTTGGGAGGGTTTATTGGGGGTGTGGGGTGGTTTGCCTTCCTAAGCTTAGAAAGCCTCGGAAAGCTTGAGGTTTCTGTTCTGAGCCCAAAAGCACAAACCTTAGGCAGATCCCACCTAGAACCCGACCTTGAACCCTTCTAAACCCTTCATAAAGCTTCGCAGTGCTCAAGAAATCAAGGTCTAGGGTTTAGGGTTGAGGGGAGTTGAGATTAGGCTCAAGAGGGATTTAGCTTAAGGGCGGTTTCGGGTCTAGGGAGAGTTTCAGGGCAGGGTTTGAGGGCTTGGAGGGGGGGTTTAGGCTTCAGGGTTTGGGGGTCTAAGGTTCAGGAAGAAATAAAGGTGAGGCTCAAGGGGAATTTAGGCTTTAGGCTTAAGGGCGGTTTCGGATTTAGGGAGAGATTCGGGCTTCAGGGCCAGGTTTCAGGCTTTAGGGTCCAGGGCTTTAGGGTTTGGGGGGGTCTAATTTTCAGGCTTAATAAAGGGAGGTTGAGATGAGGCTCAAGGGGGATTTAGGCTAGGGCGGCGCCGGGTTTAGGGAGAGTTTCGAGCTTCAGGGCGCTTTAAGATTGACCGTTACTAAAAGGAAAGCAAACACAAGCAAACAGTTGCCAGGTCCCAAAAAACGCATTAATTAGGCCGTTCTTTTTTTGGTCCCAGCTTGAATAAATAAAAAAACGCATTATAGAGGCCCCCCTTACTTTTCGGGCCGCCACATTAGGGTTCAGTGTCTAGCACGAAGTAGAGCTAGTTTCGAGTGCCGTACCGCTTCTTTTGCAGCCTTGAAAGGATGGCCATTGAGGCTACAATTTCCCAGTACCCTAAAACCCAGATCCGCCAAACCTAAACGAAAGGACCCTCAAATCTTAATCCTTTAAAAGTTCTGAAGCTCCTAATGTCCTAATGCCTTAATCTCCCAAACTCGTAACATCCGAACACCCCATTAACAAACATTCTCAAATTCCTGACCCTCCAAACTAAGACCCTAATCGTTGAAAGCACAACATCATGAAAATCCGCGGAGCCGAAAAAGGCTCTTCCAAAAGGAACTTTTATTGTAAGGCAGTTTTCGTGTTGTTGCTTTTGTTGGTTTCCTCTCCATGTGACGGCCAAATCTACTTCCCAGCTCCGCCTCTTCGACCCCGAGTTCCTTAACGCCTAAGGTGCCCTGAAACCCAAGCCGAGGCATTAAAACTTAAACGAGACGAACTTTATAATCCCTAAAATTCGCAGTGCCCTACGAATCCCCAAATCCCGCATGCTTACATGTTTGGAGTTTGGACTCCTGAACTTCACAAAGGGGGGTGGGGAGCACATGCCTTTTGTGAACAGCGCGTGCTGCAAAATCGTCGGTTTTGAGTTGGAGGGTTCATTCTACATTTGGCAGCCTTCCTCTACATGCAAACAACTTTGGACCCCTAAGTTGCTTTGAAACACGAGAAACCCGAAGTCCTTACATCTTGACAT